TCCTCTGCCTGCTCCTCCTGCGTCCTCTCTTCCTAAGGTCCCTGACCCTGAGTCTGACCGTGCTCGTGCCGCCAGTCCCACTATCTCTTGTCTCCTCGCCACTGCTGTCACTGACCCTTCTTTTGAGTCTGCTGCTGCGTCTGCCCTCGTTGCTGAGCTGGTTGACTTTGTTGCTGCTTGTCGTCTAGACTACGCCACTGCTCTTGTTGCTGAGTCTGCGTCTGCCAGTCCTTCGTCCGTCGGGGGTGAGTGTGCTCTTCGCAAGGACGTCCTTGAGGATAGTCAGGAGGACTTTGAGTGTCTTGCAGCTGCTATACCTCGTTTCGCTTCCATGCTGCTTGCCCCTGAGGGAGACCCGGATGCACCAGACATCCCAACCCCGCGCTCTTACGCAGAGGCGATTACGGGTCCTTACTCCTCTCAGTGACAGGTAGCCATGGATGCCGAGATGGCATCCTGGAAGTCCACAGGAACCTAGGTCGACGAGGTTCCCCCACCTGGGGCGAACATAGTCGATGGCATGTGGATTTTCAGGGTGAAGCGGCCGCCGGGTTCTCCGCCTGCCTTCAAGGCGCATTACGTTGCTCGAGGCTTCAGTCAGCGACAGGGGGTTGACTACTTCCAGACCTTTTCCCCCACCCCGAAGATGACTACTCTTCAGGTGTTGCTGCATGCCGCTTCTCAGCGTGACTACGAGCTGCACTCTGTGGACTTCAGCACAGCTTTCCTGCAGGGCAGCCTGCACGAGGAGATCTGGCTGCGCCGCCCACCTGGCTTCACTGGGTCGTTTCATGCAGGTACCCAGTGGAGCCCTCGGCGGCCAGTCTACGGTCTCCGCCAGGCGCCTCGCGAGTGGCACGACACACTGAGGACTACACTTGCGGCTCTTGGGTTTGCTCCTTCTACTGCTGACCCGTCGCTGTTTCTACGCACCGACACCTCGCTGCCGCCGTTCTACGTCCTCATGTACGTCGACGACCTCGTCTTTGCCACTGCTGACACTGAGGCACTAACCCTTGTGAAGTCGGAACTGCAGAAGAGACACACCTGCACTAACCTGGGTGAAATGCGCAGCTATCTTGGCCTGCAGATCACCCGGGACAGAGCACGGCGCACCATCACCTTGACTCAGTCACACATGGTGCACCAGGTCCTTCAGCGTTTCGGTTTCCAGTTCTCCTCGCCATAGCCCACTCCTCTGTCTACCAGCCACTTGCTCTCAGCTCCACCTTTGGATGAGTCCGTAGAGCCGAGTGGTCCGTACCCAGAGCTTGTGGGTTGCCTCATGTACCTGATGACGTGCACACGACCTGACCTCGCGTACCCTCTCAGCCTTCTGGCTCGCTACGTGGCTCCCGGTAGGCACCGAAAGGTGCACTGGGATGCTGCGAAGAGGGTACTGCGCTACTTGTGCAGTACGTCAGGCATGGGGCTCGTGCTTGGAGGACGGGGTCCAGTTGTCCTCACTGGTCACGCAGCCGCCTCCTGGGTTGACGACTCAGCTACGCAGCGGTCGTCACAGGGTTACACCTTCAGCCTTGGTTCCGGCTCTGTTTCCTGGAGGGCTACTCGCTCGTCTTCGGTTCTCAGCTCCAGTTGTGAGGCTGAGATATACGCCGGGGCCATGGCTGCACAGGAGTTACGCTGGCTCACCTACCTGCTGACTGATTTGGGAGAGCAGCCTCGTTCGCCTCCAGTTCTGTACGTAGACAACAAGGCCATGATTGCCTTGTGTCAGGAGCACAGACTGGAGCACAGAACGAAGCACATCGCTCTACGATACTTCCTTGCTCGAGAGTTGCAGCAGCGTGGCAAGCTTCGTCTTGCGTACGTGGCCACTAGGGCCAACACTGCTGATATATTCACGAAGGCACTTCCGCCTGGTGATCACCAGCGCTTCTCTACTGTGTTACGCCTTGTGCCTATTTTGCCTCACTTGCTCACTGCTTGACTCTGCTTGTACTGTGATATATATATATACATATATATATACATATATATATACCTGCATGCTTGCACTTGCTAGGGTATGATCACTGTATTGTTTGCTCTCTTTTATATCACTCTGCATGTGAACTGGCCTTGTGGCCCTTTGCTTGTGCTCAGACTGTGTGTTGACTTTGTGATCCACCCTGAGCTTGCTTTTCTTTTCTTGACTGGTCTTGTGACCACTTGTTCTCCCCCACTTTGCCTATCGGAGTGTGTCAGAATGTTACCGTATAGTGGTTACATTTGTGTAGGCTATAGTGGGGTAGCCAATAAGGGGTACAACCCAATTAGGGTTAGTACTTGTACCCAACTGTTTCATAGTTCATTCATTCTCGTTCATTCTTCTGACACGCGACACTCGCCTCGACCCCGACTCCCGCCAATGCTCACATGCGACTTCTGATGTCATATGTACAGCTGGACGTCAGCCTCGTTAGCGAATTACATTATACAAGTCTCCTCCATCATTTTGATTTCCACCTAGATTAATATGCTACATTTGTACATATTTAGTACGCTGTATAGATTTCTTACAGGAACTCACAATTGTCAACATGGGCTCACATAACAAGATGAAAATGCCTTGTAAACTTGTCTGTTTACATTATTATGCTTATCAATATATACAGAAGCAGAGGACCAGGATTTACGTAGTCTCAGGTGCTAGTAACGGATTACCCAAGGCTTCTTTCGGGTATGCCTTGAAGAGCTGCCGAAGTTCCGCCTCTGCGAAGCTTTCCCCCAAATTATTCCCGCCATCTGCCACATAGTCTGCATTTTCCAGAATATCCGTTGATCCAGCTGCCTTCAGTAGATTAACTACGTAGTCGTCATGGAAGCGCCGGTCACGATGCGGGCGCGAAGAGACTCCAGGTGCTTTGGTCCGCACGTCGCCGACGTGTTGAAATAGCGACGGCACGTGCACGTATCCCGTTCGGTTGGCGCTAGTTAGGTATTTGTTTACTAGCCAATCCATAGGAGCCTCGGTGAATCGCTCCTCCACAAACCCTAGCAGATCGTCGAGCGCCGATACGTTGAAAAGCAGAGCCTGAGCGCAGCAGGGAATCAGATACTCCCCGCCATGATCATATGGCCAGAGGTACGATTCGGGATAGTAAAGCGATAGGACCGTCCACTCCTTCTCCTTGATTTCCTCGTTAATGAATTTCTCGATTCCGATATCGTACAGCCGGGCTGGCCTCGTGTCGTCTTGCAGCAGCAGGATGTATTTCGGTTTCGTCGCCATGCACTGCCGCATCACGTAGACGAAGTCCATTACCAGCTTCGTTCGCCATCGCCAGGATTTCCAGCCGTCGCTGGCCATCTCGTTTGTCACGCCCAACTTTCGCAACTCCTCCTCGTCTTCCTGAACGAAGTCGCACGCATCTTGGCGAGATGGTAACACCGTTACATTCAGCGACGATTCATTTCCAGCCAATCTGAGAGCTTTCTCATGCAGAACTCCCGCCATCGTCTCCTTTCGTTCTTCCAAGTCTCCCTGAGGAGTTAGTACCGGCTCCTTAGGTGATTCCACGTCACGCCGCGTCGCGCCGTCGGGAAGGCTTCTTGTCGTCGTAGTAGGCCTCAGGTCCTCCTCCAAAGCGCTGGCGTCTGACGCTGCGCGTGCTGCGGCTTGTTTCTTGAGGCGCTGTAAAAATTCCCGTTTTTCGTCGCAGCCAGAGCTGTAGACCACGACATTCATGTCTTTAAAGCCGCCAGTCATGTTAGACGGAGACCGTCGCCGTTCCAGCATCTCAAGAAGAGACACTGGGAAGTGCCACGGTGGCAGCTTGCGTCGTTCAGGAAAGACTCGTGGCATCGAAGCTATAGCCACGCAGACTTCATGTTGATTGTCAGTGCTTTTGCTGCTACTCCCGTCGCTGTCGGTGGGGAGCCCGTTTCCGCCGTTGCTCTTTTGATGACCCCCCGCCGTTTGACTTCGCCTTCCGTTGCTGCCACGTGTCGCGTCCTGGAGTGCGACATTTGGCTCGAAGTAGTCTCGTCCGACGTGGCGACGCATATGTAGAGGACTCAAATTCGTGTACTCTGCTGAAGCTGATGCGTTAATAGCTCCAGAGGCGTCGTCGTCGTTCCCTGCTGTTGAATTAGAAGACGGACGAGGCTGTGCTGAAGAAAGGAAGGTCCTGAAAACGGATCTGGCGAACGTGGACGGTAACCGGGTTACAGATTCTGACGCCGACTGTAACGAGGTCAACGGCGACTGTGGAGAGAGCAGCTGTCGCCTGTGAAACTCGAACACCTTCCCAGGTCGAAGCAAGCCCAGTCGTTCATGGATTTGAACATGGCGATTGAGCCTGGTGCTAGCCCAAGGCGCGAAGATTAAAACGAGGCCACAAACGAGAAGCAGGAAAGCGAGGCGGTAAGGTCTGGAGTGCCTCGCGCGTGGCGAAGTGGCAGTGTGCCTGCTAAAGCAATGCTTGCTAACAAACTTGCTGTAAATAGTAATAGATTGGATCATGGTGCCTGGACGTGGTGGTCGCTGGAGATTCTGCTAGAGCCTCTGATACGAAATCAAATGATAAGCGGTAAGGACACATATTTGACAACCGCGGCGATTTTCGAGGATAAGTAGTATGCTGTGATATTCTGTCGGCGCGATATGGTCATCTGATGCAACGGGTTATCACTGTCCGCAATAGCCTATCGAAGAACGGGCTCTGTTCTGCAGTTTTGCTCCAGGCCTGTCGAAGTTCCTGGGGCTCGTACTTGCGCTCGGGTAGGTGAGCGTTTTGGCGCCCTTAAGGGTCACGGGCGCACCCCAAAGTCAGAACTTGAAATCAGGGCATGTTTGAAGTTTGCACTTACACTTCATTTTACTATGATAAGTGCTGTTATGTACTTAAATTAGAAGTCAAAGACACCTAACACTACACATGTCTTAAATAGTCATAAAACCTACCTAGCCTGCAAAGTTCTTATTCTCTACACTAACTACAGATATGGCATGCAGAGCTCAGCTACTCTACTCTAACCCGACATCCAATGCGAGCCTAGTTGGCAGGCTTCCTCCCCTTCCTCCCCTTATCCTCAAACAAGGCATAGGCCGCTGCCCAGTCCACCGGGTAGTCTAGCATCTTCACCGTCATCAGCTCCCCCAGCCTAACATCAGTAAGAGCAACACGATCCCACGACTTAATAATGTTTTGGCGGGAGAAGCCCCTCTCACACTCAACAGTGCTGAGGGGCAACACAGAGACCGCACGCCAGAGAGAGACTATGGTGGGATAGTCATCCTTCCAGTCTGCAGTGCGCAGCATGTTGGTGAGAGCCTGATGGAAGCTCTGCTTCTTGAACTTCTTCTCCATGGTGGCTGTGAAGAGGCGCATCTGCGGCTCTATGTCAGCAAGAGCGACTCCTGCCAAGGACATATACAAAGTTAGATTACGTCATTGTGTGAGCATAATATGTACAAAGTTAGAACATACGTGGGTTCCTTTCATACTAATCTAGGCTTACCAGGTAGCTGGTTCTTGAACATGTCCAGGAGCTCGGTGAGATGGTGCTGCAGCCATGTGTCCTGCTCTCCTGCACGGAAGGGATACTTATCAGGGGTGAAAAACCCAACACCATCGAAATGGCGCAGGTCCGCCATCCTCTTCCCCAGCGCCTTAATCAGGCGCTGAGCGAAACGCCGCGCCAGGTCCACGCAGGCCTCCAAGTCGCATCCCCCCCCCGGGTTTTCAGGGTCGATGATGTCCTCGTGGAGCTCGATCTCGGCTTTTGCAGGTTTGCCGTCGCCACCCACTCCCTTGAGCTCCATCTTGCGCTTGTCCTTGCTGCCGTGTGCAGCAAGGAACTTGTTCAGGCGAGAGGTGTTCGGCCCGTAGGATGCGCTGGGCTCGACGTAGTACTGCGACAGCTTGGTCTTCACCTTGTCGACGTGATTCTTCACCTCTGTGATGTCGACCTGAAATCAAACGGAGCGGGAAAACATTAGAACCAAGCACTTAAGAGAAGAAGCGCCTAGTACATGTTCATGTCAATCTTACCGTCTGCTTCTGGAAGGCAAGATTGAGTCCGTTGAGCAGCTGCAGCACGTCAGCCAGGAGGTAAAGCATGTAGTGGAACTTGAAGCTGGTAGCGAGTTTCTCCATCCTGTCCTTCTCCTTCGTCCACATCCACATCAGCACCGGCAGCACGTCGCAGAAGCGATTCACAGCATCTCCGCGAGACAGCCAACGGACGGTGCAGAAGCCTTGCACCTCCAGGTGCGTCTTCAGAATGACGTCCTGGAGATGCATGTAGGTCTTGTGATCGGTCGATGAACGCCCGAGACGCTCGGCAGTCTGGCGTATCATCTGATCGACGACGTTGAACTCCTTGAATCTCTTCGCGGCATCCTTTGCAGCCAATGCCTCGCTGCACAAGCACGACAGGTTCGTGAGTACGTATGGCGACGGTAATAAGATAACAGGACATTGCAGTGCAACCTTACCTATGCGCCACGCAGTGAATCGCCACCAGCCACGGGCAACGTTTCCGAAGCAGGGCGACAACTCCGTTCTTCGAGCCAGTCATGACGGATGCACCATCCGTTGAAACCCCGACAAGCTTGTCCATCGACATGTCCTTCGACCACAGGCACTTCACGATCGTGTCGTACAGTGCAGCGGCGTCGCAACGCTCGAGCGACAGGAGAGCAAGAAACTGGGACACCACGGCCTCGCCTCTCTCAAACGTGACATACACGATGAGGTGCTTTCCGCGGGCGCGATCCGTGGATTCATCGAAGGAGAGGCTGTACCAGGCCGACTCTTTGACGTCCACGAGCTGCCTGGCCACCAGATGCTCCGCCATAGCCTCTACGAACTCGCCGAAGGCGTATCTGCAATGAGCACCAAATGTACGTTACTCACAGTATAACACAAGCACAAGTACGAAAATACAGAGGCAACGAAGAGAAGAAACAGCAGGACATTAGGTGCAGAACCAGAGGGTAACAAACACTTACCGCGAGTAATAACGCCCGTAGGATTCGCTGTTCATCATGTCGGGGCATCCTTGCTCCGCCATGAACCGCACCAGCATGGGGTAGAGAGCGATCGGTGCATCGTTCTGCGCAATCCACTGAGCTGCTTGCATGCATTTGACGACCCTCGCCATGACTGGATCGCCGCTGAGCATGTTCACGAGGCTGCGCTGCCTCACCTCCGTGCCAGCAGCGAGTCGTTCTGCTTCCATGGCCGCGAGGTGCACCTTGGACTGGTCATGGTTGCGGCACGCCGACTTCTGAAAGTCCCTTGCACCGACGCCAGCACCGCCAAAGGGAGACTTGGTGTTAGGAGCGAACTTACAGCACACGGAACACTTCATACCATACAGGCGCTCCTCTTTGTTGTACTTCAGTGTCAGCCACGAGTACGTCTGCTTCCACGACGGGCTGAAGCGACGTGCCATACCCTTCTCAGCAGCAGGGATCTCGGTGTCCGGGGGCACTTCTGCATCCTCGGCGATAGCCTTGTCCTGCGCCTCCAGCTCCTCAGCAGTGGGTGGAGGCGGTACGCTTCGTGTGCGCTTTCGCGAATCTGGTGGCGGACTTGCGAAGCTAAGGTGAACCTGACGGTAGCGGGCTGCTGACAGAGGTGTAGTCTATGACGATGATGCTTGCTGGGCGAGGCGCGGGTCCAACACTGAGATTGCTACGTCTAGCATGTCTTCAGCATCCGAGGGTAGGTAAGGCTCGGTCTCGGTCGTAGTATGAGAATGACTAACGTTCGACATGGGCAAAACTGGAGGAGGGGTTTCACCCTCGCTAGGATCCATTGTAGGAGAATGTGGCTGACGAAGCGAACGGGTTAGCTACCCATACTATAAACATCGCGTGCGTGAGCTAGGCGACGCGAGGTTTACTCGGCAGAGTGGTTGGGTGGAGGAGAAGTGCCATAGCATGGCACGTACGAGAGGGGAGGGGAGAGCTGAGGGCTTGGGTGGATGATACCGTGGAGGTGGTGGGACGGTGCGGAAGAGAAAACATGGGTGGGATGTGGTGGTGGATGGATTGCATGGTGGTGGAGAGGAATCGTGGCTCGCACGAACGAAGGTGGTGAGGGAGGGAGCTGCTGCGCTGGAGTGCTTCAGTTCCTTTGACGTGCTGTGGTTTAGTGTCTTAGATGTCTCTGTGGCCAAACAACTTAGCCAGATTTACCCAAGATAATCCCATGTGTCACAGCTGTACACTGCGGCCAGAGATCTTCCTGTCCGCAGCACCCCACTCACCAGACGTTTCGCTTCTGGTTTGATTCGAACAGCTTGGCCCCGTTTGCATCTAAACCGCACTCTCAGAAGCAGCGTCAATTCAATACCCCCACCTTTTAAAGGCATCGGCGGCAGCAGCATTAGAAGTATCAACAGCAGTTTCGAGCATTCAAGGAGAGCGCTGCAAGCCAGGTTGAAGCAGCCCAATACCTCCGGTTCAACCGCTGGTAGACTCAGGCCCAGCAACGTTGCTCCCACTGCCACTCGCCCGAGCAGCATTAGAAGCAGCAACAGCAGTTTTGAGCGTTCAAGGAGAACGCTGCAAGCCAGGTTGAAGCAGCCCATCAACTCCGATCCAACCACAGTCAGTCGCAGGCCCAATAACGTTGCTCCCACTGCCACTCGCTCTCCCAGGTACGCCCCACCCCACCCCGCCTTCGCTCCATTCCCCCTTCGCGCCATTCTCTCTTCGCCCCTCTCCCCCTTCGCCCCATTCCCCCTTCGCACCATCCTCCGTCGTCCCATCCCCCCTTCGCCCCATCCCCCCTTCGCCCCTCTCCCTCTTTGCCCCTTTCCCCCGTCGTCCCTCTCCCCCTTTGCCCCATTCTCCCTTCGCCCCTCTCCCCCTCCCTTCCTCCTAGGTGCCCCCGTCTCACCCTCACTCTCCCAGGTTTTCTCCATTTGACTAAGTGCAAAAAAAAAAAAAAAAACATATCAAATGCTTTTTCTTCCCTCCCCACTGCCTAAACTCCAGTCAATTGCCAGTTATCCCGTCAGACTTGGGCCCAGAAATAAAATCCTACTGCGGGCAGGGTGTTTGCGCTAAGGACCCCAAGTGGTGTGGGGTGATGAACAACCCTATCCGCATCTACCTTGTGTGGTACGGAAGCTTCTCGGATGCCCAGAAGAACCTTCTACGAACATTCATCCACTCTTTCAGCAGCACAGAAGGCACAGGTGAGTGATTTCAGGACAGTAGTTCTTCCCTCACAAGATAGAAGTTCAGTTTTGAGACGTCTCAAAACTCCTCAACTCTTATCATGTGGCATTTTAGGACAGTAGGTCTTCCCTCACAATAATGTCAGCAGTGAAAGCACCGGTGAATGTTCCAACGCCTGGAAGAATGTTCTCTGAACTTTCACCTGCTCCTTCAGCAGCAGAACTGAAGGCACTGGTGAGAGGTGTTCAAGGCAGCAGCACTGAAGGGTCAGGTGGGTCCTCTCACCTTGAAATTCTAAGGAGCCGCATACGTGCAGTCTACAGTCTTTATAGCCTTATCAACACTGAAAGCCATCACTCTTGACTCGAAGTCCCTATCTCCTCTCCCCGGCCTTTCACAACCCCCTCACCTTTTTTTTTCTTCTTCCTTCTCCCTCCCATCCCGCCTGCCTGCCTACAGTCGCTGACTGGTGGCGAACCAACACCTTTTATTACGACTGCCATGGCCGCTACGTCTCTTCCTCTGTAAATTTTAGCAAAGGGAGCACCACGTGTCTCCCTCCCATTCCCCCTTCTATCCCCCTCCACAACCCCCCCGAACAGTCTCTGACTGGACCAAAGCCTTTGTTACGACTGCTACGGCCGCTACGTCTCCTCCTCTGTAGTTTTAGCAAGGGAGCACCACGTGAGGCAACCCCTCCCATGTCTCCCTCCCTTCCCCCACCCGGGCCCCCTCCTTCCCACGCAGTTGCTGATTGGTGGCGAACCAACACCCTGTATTACGACTGCTACGTCTCCTCTTCTGTGATTTTAGCAAGGGAGCACCACGTGAGGCAGCCTCTCAGGCTGCTGTTTGGGCTCAAGTCGAGCCAAACAGTGCGACAACTCAACAGGCACTCCCTCCCGCCCTGCCCCACACCTCCCCACCCTACAGTCGCTGACTGGTGGCGAACCAACACCCTTTATTACGACTGCTACGGTCGCTACGTCTCCATTTCTGTGACTTAAGCAAGGGAGCACCACGTGAGGCCGCCTCTCAGGCTGCTGTTTGGGCTCAAGTCGAGCCGACAGTGCGACAACTCAACAGGCTCTCCCTCCCCCCTTGCCCCACACCCCCCCACTCTCAGTTGCTGACTCGTGGCGAACCAACACCCTTTATTACGACTGCTATGGCCACCACGTCTCCTCTTCAGTCCGCTTGCCCAGGGAGCACCACGCGACTGAGGCGCCCCCGTGTCTTCCTCCCTCCCGTCTCCCCTCCCACACAGTCGCTGACTGGTGGCGAACCAGCACCCTTCATTACGACTGCTACGGCCGCCACGTCTCCTCTTCTGTAATTGTGGCTAGGGAGCACCACGTGAGCAAGGAAGAACCACGTATCTCCCTCCTTTTCTCCCTTCCCCTCCCCACCTCCTGCAGTCGCTGACTGGTGGCGAACCAACACCCTTTATTACGACTGCTACGGTCGCTATGTCTCCTCTTCTGTGACTCTAGCAAGGGAGCACCACGTGAGGCAGCCCCTCAGGCTGCTGTATGGGCTCAAGTCAATAAAGCGGGTGATAAAGAAGAGAATGAACAGCGGCGCTTTCCCCCTCGATGAGAATGGCGTTTACTTCGTTATCGGCGATAGCAGTGTGGCTCAGGTGCGTAAAGGTGGGGTGCGGTGGTGGTGGGTCTGGTGGTCACGATAAGATGGGTGATGAAAAAGAGGTTGAAGGCCGGTGTGTTCCCCCTTAATGAGAATGGAGTGTACTTTGCGCGATGGGAGTGTGGCTCAGGTGTGTAGAGGTGCGGTACCGTGCGGTGGTGGTGGGTTTGGTGGCTTAGTAAGGTGCTTGGTGAACACGTGGGCGAAAGGTGAAGGGCGGCACCTTTCCTCTTGATGAGAATGGAGTGTACTTCGTTATCGGCGATAGCAGTGTGGCTCAGGTGCGTAGAGGTGCAGTGCGGTGGTGTGGAGGTGGGTGTTTTGGTGGGTATGATGGTTGTATTATTAAGGCTGCTATTTTGGCTCAGGACGATTTGCCAGGTGATCAAGGCGAGCGTGAAGGGGGATGCTTTCTCCCCTGTGATGTGGATGGAGTGTATTTTGAGATGAGAGCATGGCTCAGGTGTGTCTGGTGGTGGTTATTATAAGTCGGATGATAAAGAAGAGGTTGATGGACGGGCGGTACGTTTCCCCTCGATGGGGATGGAGTGTACTTCGTTATCGGCGATGGGAGTGTGGCTCAGGTGCGTTTTTTGTCTGAGTGAGTGAGTAGGCGAGTGAGTGGGTGAGTTAGTAGGAGAGTGAGTGAGTAGGTGAGTGAGTGAGTGAGTGAGTCTGTGAGTGTCCATAAGAATTATAAATCTCCTCTTTCAGTTATCTCCCCACGCTCCCTTCCCCACGCTCCCTTCCCCACGCTCCCTTCCCCACGCTCCCTTCCCCACGCTCCCTTCCCCACGCTCCCTTCCCCACGCTCCCTTCCCCACGCTCCCTTCCCCACGCTCCCTTCCCCACGCTCCCTTCCCCACGCTCCCTTCCCCACGCTCCCTTCCCCACGCTCCCTTCCCCACGCTCCCTTCCCCACGCTCCCTTCCCCACGCTCCCTTCCCCACGCTCCCTTCCCCACGCTCCCTTCCCCACGCTCCCTTCCCCACGCTCCCTTCCCCACGCTCCCTTCCCCACGCTCCCTTCCCCACGCTCCCTTCCCCACGCTCCCTTCCCCACGCTCCCTTCCCCACGCTCCCTTCCCCACGCTCCCTTCCCCACGCTCCCTTCCCCACGCTCCCTTCCCCACGCTCCCTTCCCCACGCTCCCTTCCCCACGCTCCCTTCCCCACGCTCCCTTCCCCACGCTCCCTTCCCCACGCTCCCTTCCCCACGCTCCCTTCCCCACGCTCCCTTCCCCACGCTCCCTTCCCCACGCTCCCTTCCCCACGCTCCCTTCCCCACGCTCCTTCCCCACGCTCCCTTCCCCACGCTCCCTTCCCCATGCTCCTCTCCCTTGTCCTACGTCTCACCTCTCCCCCTCTCGAAACAGAGGGACAGTTAAGGCGCCATGTGCAGCGCCTACTGCGGCTGGCACACTCACTTCCCCACTCTCTACTCCCCTCCCCATGCTTACCCCACCATACTCACCTCGTTTTCCTTGTCCCACGCCTCACCATTGCCTCTCCCCCAACAGAGGCACAGCCAGGGCAGCATGTGCAGCGCATACTGTTGGCATGGCATGCTCCCTTCCCCACACTCTGCTTTTGAGTCGACTCAAAAACAGCCAGGGCGCCATGGGCAGCACATACTGTTGGCACGCTCACTTCCCCACACTCACCGCCCCATGCTTATCCCCTCACCTCACCTCACCTCACCTCACCTCTCCTCACCTCTCCTCACCTCTCCTCACCTCACCTCACCTCACCTCTCCTCACCTCACCTCTCCTCACCTCTCCTCACCTCTCCTCACCTCACCTCTCCTCACCTCACCTCACCTCACCTCTCCTCACCTCACCTCTCCTCACCTCACCTCTCCTCACCTCACCTCTCCTCACCTCTCCTCACCTCACCTCACCTCACCTCACCTCACCTCTCCTCACCTCTCCTCACCTCACCTCACCTCACCTCACCTCACCTCTCCTCACCTCTCCTCACCTCACAATTGCTTCTCCCCCAACAGCGGGACAACCAGGGCGGCATATGCAGCGCCTACTGTGGGTGGCACACTCACTTCCCTTCCTCTCACCTTATTGTCCTATGCCTCACCTCTCCCCAGCTGACTTTTGAGTCGACTCAAAAGTCACTTCCCTTCCTCTCACCTTATTGTCCTACGCCTCACCTCTCCCCCTCCCTCCCCCAACCCAACAGAGGGACAGCTCGGGCGGCATGTGCAGCACCTACTGTGGGTGGCACGACTTTGTGAGGATTCGGAAGAAGCTCATTAAAGTGGCTTATGTGGGCAGCCCTACCAAGGTGTGTTGTGTGGTGAGGATGTGCTGAGTGTGGTTAGAGAGGGTTGAGAGTGGTTCAAGAGGGTTGAGAGTGGTGAGGGGGTTGTGAGCCAAGGTGCTATGTGCAACGCTTACTGCAGGTGGCACGACTTTGTGAGGATTCGGAAGAAGCTCAATAAAGTGCCTTATGTGGGCAGCCCTACCAAGGTGTGTTGAGAGTGGTTAGAAAGGGTTGAGAATGGTGAGCTAAGTTGCCATGTATAGTGCATACTGTGGGTGGCACGACTTTGTGATGATTCGAAAGAAGCTTATTAGAGTGGCTTATGTGGGCAGCCCGGTGAAGGTGCGTACTGTGGTAGAGAGTGGTTTTAGAGGGTTGAGGGAGTGGTGCGACTGGTTAGGGACGGTTGGGAATGGTGAGAGGGTGGTGAGTGCAGACCAGAAGAAGCTCATCAGAGTTTCATATGTGGGCGGCCCAGTAAAGGTGTTTGTTTGCTGCGGGATTGCCAATTGCAGTTAAAGCCCGCGGCCCAAATTGCGGACCGCGTGGGTCAAGTTTTTTAAGCTTGACGAAGTAGGCTGTGCAAGCTTTGAAAAGTTAGCGCACCTGCAATTTGGGACTTTTGAGGTCTGACACACCCACCACGGTAAAAACGAGGGGTTGGCTGGGTTTGGCGAAAAAAATGACTTTCACGAAATCTGAAACATTTGCCAAGGCGCCCAAACCAGTAAAACTCCTTCTCGTCAACGTTTTAAAACTTGTGCAATTCGGGCCAACGGCTTTAAAGAGGGTTGTGAGGAGTTAGAAAGGCTTGAAAGTGGTGAGAGAGGGTTGATAATTCGAGTTGCTTCTCTCCACCTTAAACAATCATTCCCTCCGCCCCCAACCCCCCTTTCCCCCCCAACCAATTCAATCCCCCCAGTGCCCCAGCAGCTGCTGGCTCGCTGCCTTTGCATTCCACGACAGCCCCAACAGGGATAAGTCGTTTGACTTGTTACTCTCCACCTCCTCTCCCCACTCCCCCTTCCCTCACCCTCCCGCCTCCCCCCCCCACCTCTGCCCCATTCCCCCAGTGCCCCAGCAGCTGTTGGATGGCTGCATTCGCCTTCAACGACAGCCCCAACAGCGATGAGTCTTTTGACTCGCTGCTCTCCACCTACTTCTCTCCACTACCACGCACTCAGCCTTTTCCCCATCCCTCTCTGACCCCCCAGTGCCCCAGCAGCTGCTGGCTCGCTGCCTTTGCATTCAATGACAGCCCTAACATGGATAAGTCGTTCGACTCGCTGCTCTCCACGTTTGCTCACGAGCTTGCAGAGGCGACGAGTGACCCGTATGTGACCAACTGGTATGACGCCGCTGGACAGGAGAACGCCGACATATGCGCGTGGACGTGAGTGAGTGGGGAGGGGGGGAGAAGGGGGGGATGGATTGCTGGGTTGATGTTGGGTGTGCAGAGGCGACGAGTGACCCGTATGTGACCAACTGGTACGACGCCGCTGGACAGGAGAACGCCGACATATGCGCGTGGAAGTGAGTGAGTGGGGAGGGGGGGAGAAGGGGGGGATGGATTGCTGGGTTGATGTTGGGTGTGCAGAGGCGACGAGTGACCCGTATGTGACCAACTGGTACGACGCCGCTGGACAGGAGAACGCCGACATATGCGCGTGGACGTGAGTGAGTGGGGAGGGTTGGAGGGAGCGGTGGGAGCGGAGGGGTGGGGGCGGAGGGGAGGTGTAGGGTAGCGGTGCGGAGGGGAGGTGTAGGGTAGCGGGGCGGAGGGGAGGTGTAGGGTAGCGGGGCGGAGGGGAGGTGTAGGGTAGCGGGGCGGAGGGGAGGTGTAGGGTAGCGGGGCGGAGGGGAGGTGTAGGGTAGCGGGGCGGAGGGGAGGTGTAGGGTAGCGGGGCGGAGGGGAGGTGTAGGGTAGCGGGGCGGAGGGGAGGTGTAGGGTAGCGGGGCGGAGGGGAGGTGTAGGGTAGCGGGGCGGAGGGGAGGTGTAGGGTAGCGGGGCGGAGGGGACATATGCGAGTGGAAGTGAGTGAGTGGGGGGGAGGGGGGTGGGGAAGCGGGAATTGGTACGATGCCTCGGGACAGGAGTACGGCGGCATATGTGCGTGGAAGTGAGTGAGTGGGGGGGGAGGGGAGCGGGGTGGGTGAAGGGAGGAAGGTGGTTTACGGGGAAGAGGGGGCGAAGAGGCGATTGCTGCTCTCCACGTTTTTTTCCTTTGCTTTAAGCCTACTGCACGCACGCAGCTCACTGAGACATGTCTGAATCTCGAAGAGGGGGCGAAGAGGCGATTGCTGCTCTCCACGTTTGCCCACGAGCTTGCAGAGGCCACGAGTGATCCATATGTGACCTGGTACGACGCATTGGGGCAGGAGAACAGCGACCTATGTGCCTGGAAGTGAGTATGGGGGGGGGGGGATATGTGGAGAGGGAAACGAGGTGGACGAATTCGTGAGTGTGCGGAGGCGACGAGTGACCCCTATGTGACCAATCGGTATGATGCTTCTGGGCAGGAGAACGGCGACACGTGCGCACGGATGTGAGCAGGGAGGGGAGGAAGGGGTGGGGGAGGGGATAGGGGAAAGAGGTGGGGAGGAGGGGTGAATGGCCTCTGACGCTCAGCAGTGCACTAACAGCGTGCTTCTCAACTTAAAGCACTTCCTCCATTTTCTATGTTTCGCATCTTCCCCTCCAATCCCAACAGGACCGGCACCCTGTCGTACACAGCAGATGCTGCTCCGTATAACGTGGAGGGAGTGGGTGGGACCAAGTTCCTCATTCAGCAGAACTACGACCCGAATCAACGAACCTGCGTCATTGCCACTGCTGGTTGACCAGGTTCACTGAACTTGGAAAGGACGGGTGGCAGGGACCAAGTTCCTGATTCAGCAGAAAATTTCCTGATTCGACGAACCTGCATCACCACCACAACTGCTCCTGCGTGACTAGGTTCATCGAACCTGGAGGCATTGAATGGGGATAAGTTTCTTATCCAGCAGAACTACGACCCGAGTCAACAAACCTGCACCACCAGCGCTTCTCATGCTTAACCAGGTTCATTGAACCTGGAACGAGCGAATGGCTCCAAGGTTCCCCAGTTGCGGCCCGATTCAAAGAACCTGCTCGTCACCGCTGCTGCTGCTAAGGTTGCTGCTGCCGCTGCTTGACCAGGTTCTTTGAACCTGAACCTGCATCACCACCACCACTGCAGCGCGACTTGATACGTTGAATCTGGACCCGCTGTCATGACTCGTGATCAGTGCTGCCTCGGCTCTCAAGGCAGAGTATTGAGGCACCCCAAACCAGGTGGGAGCGAGAGAGAGCGACAGAGGCCAAGCGTGAGGGAGCCTGTGAGAGCAAGCGAGTGCAAGAGGGAGAAAGAGTGAGCAAGAGCAAGAGAGAGAGAGCAAGGAGTAAGAGAGAGGAGGAGAGAGCGAGAGAGGGAGCAAGTGAGGGCAAGGGGAGTCAACAAAGAGACCAGGAGAGAGCAAGGGAGAGCAACAGAGGCCTAACGAGGGCACAGGAGAGAGCGAGAGAGGGCAGATAGAGCTTGAGGGAGCTTGAGACTAGCTTAAGCTCAGCCTAGAGAAGATTAAGATTAGATACTTGTTAAGGACGAGTCACCTGTTGGATCCAGGTCGAACCTGTTCTTCTTTAATGCACAGCCCAGCAGTGAGTGTGAGAGGCTCTCTGCCGAAGTGCTTGGCGCTCGGGGGAAGTGGCTCAACTCAACAGACAACCAAGAAGAATCTGGAGCATCGTCGGCGTTGGCGGCTGAGGTATCAGCAGCAGCAGCACTTGGTGGTGGCTGTGGTGGTGCTGGCGGCGGTGGCTGGCTGGCATTGTGGCGGTGGGTGGCAACAAGGGGGGTGTGATGAGGAAAATTTCATGACTGCCGCTGTTGCAGCTTGTAATGTGCTCAAAATGATGGCTTTCTATACAATTTGCATCTACAGTATCTATCAGTGAATTCATAACGTATGGAATTTGAGGAGCATGACATGAGAAACCAATTGGACTAGTAGCAGGCTTTGTACCACATGATTGATGACGAATGAATTCATTATTGAGATGTACAACACAAACCGTAGTGTACTGCACCCAATCTCTGAAAATCTACAGTTTGTGTAGTCTTCAGGAGCTCAGTGTATCCCATCGGGGGGGGGGGGGGGGGGGGGGGGTTCTTGTAAGTATCTACCAACAAGGAACCACAAGAATGCCTGTAGATATCTTTTGCTTATCCCAGCAGGGAGGCCTGGGAGGGTCACGGAGGCGATGGAATGTCCTGTACAGTCCGCGAAGCGTTGCGACTTCTCCTGGAGCGACGAAAGATCTGCTCGCGACGAGAGATGGTGGCGAAAGAGGGGGAGTGGGGGGAGAGGGGGGAGTGGGGGTAGAGGGGGTAGAGGGGGTAGAGGGGGGAGAGGGGGGAGTGGGGGTAGAGGGGGTAGAGGGGGGAGAGGGGGGAGAGGGGGGAGTGGGGGTAGAGGGGGTAGAGGGGGTAGAGGGGGGAGAGGGGGGAGAGGGGTGAGAGGGGAGAGACGGGGGAGAGGGGTTGTGGGGGGGGGGGGTGTGGGAGGGTAAGAGGATCATGTGAAGGATTGGATGGACAGGAAGAGTTTCAGATATGAAGCAGAACGGATCATGTTTGAGATTTTAGAGCAGGGAACTAACTAACCTGCGCAATGGTTTTCGTGAGGGAGTGAGCGGCGATGCCCAGAGGGCCGAACATGAGGCAGAGCACGAGTGAGTGCCGGGTCTCCAGCTTCTGCTTTAAACCGTCCAGATACACGTGCCTGTGGGGGGGGGAGGGGAGAAGCGAGAGGGGGGAGGGGGAGGAGAGGAAGGAGGGGGAGGAGAGGAAGGAGGGGGAGGAGAGGAAGGAGGGGGAGGAGAGGAAGGAAGGGGAGGAGAGGAAGGAGGGGAAGGAGGGGGAGGAGGGAATGAGTGAGTGTCGCATCTCCAGCTTCTGCTTTAAACCGTCCAGATACACGTGCCTGTGGGGGGGAAGGGGGCGGTGTGGGGGACGGAGGGAAGTGAGTGACATTTTAGTCGACTTGGAATCCAGCTTCTGCTTCAAGCTGTCCAGATACACGTGCCTGTGCGGGGGAAGTGGGGGTGGAGGAGGAGGGACGGAGGGAAGTGGGGGTGGAGGAGGAGGGACGGAGGGAAGTGGGGGTGGAGGAGGAGGGACGGAGGGAAGTGGGGGTGGAGGAGGAGGGGCGGAGGGAAGTGGGGGTGGAGGAGGAGGGGCGGAGGGAAGTGGGGGTGGAGGAGGAGGGGCGGAGGGAAGTGGTTGCGCCATCTAGAAGTGCTCCCTGAATAATTACCTTAGATACTCTCCTGACAGAATTTTCTGAGAAATCACCTGACGGCAAGCTTCTGACAACAGAACTGCCGCATCATTTTCATTTTCCAGAGCTTTGAAAACCTCCTGGTGTCTCACCTGGCAGACCTAACATCTCACCTGACAGAATACAGGACGACTCACCTGACAGACCACCTGACGACTCACCTGCCAGACCACCTGACGACTCACCTGCCAGACCACCTGACGACTCACCTGCCAGACCACCTGAGAGCTCACCTGGCGGCAAAGAGATCAACGGCCAGAAGGTGGATCCAGGCAGAGGCGACAGTGAGAGTGCTGGCGAACATCTGAGTGATACCCGCTAGCTGGTGGAGGGGTGCCGGGGGAGAGAGCAGGGGGAGGGAGCAAGAGAAAGGCAAGGGGAACGAGGTGGATGGTGGGTGGGTGGACACAGGCAGAGGCGACAGTGAGTGTGCTGGAAAACATCTGAGTGATGCCCGCTAGATGGTGGGGGGGGAGAGGTGGGGAGGAGGGAGAGCAGGGGGGAGGGGGAAGAAGAAGCAGCAGCAGAGGGTAAGGGAAGGGGGAAAGGGGGCCAAGAGAAGGGGAAACGGATGGATCCAGGCAGAGGCGACAGTGAGAGTGCTGGAAAACATCTGAGTGATTCCCGCTAGCTGGTGGGGGGGGAGCAGGGAGGGGGGGGTGAGAAAGAAGCAGCGACGGAGGTAAGGGAAGGGGGTGGGGAAACCAAGCGAGGGTGGCAATGAGAGAATTGGCGAACATTACAGGGTATGAAAGGGTTTGCAGCTATTCCATTATGAGTTTGGGGATCCAGGGGTAACTGAAGGGTGAATGCGTACAGACGCACCTCGCGATGAATCTCTACAGGTTTGCAGCTACTCCGCGATGAATCTCGATCCTTGGGCTATTGTACAGACGCACCTCGCGATGAATCTCTACAGGTTTGCAGCTACTCCGCGATGAATCTCGATCCTTGGGCTATTGTACAGACGCACCCCGCGATGAATCTCTACAGGTTTGCAGCTACTCCGCGATGAATCTCGATCCTTGGGCTATTGTACAGACGCGCCTCGCGCAGCCAGTATTTGGAGGAGAACATGCACAGCAGCGGGTGGGGCAGCGGGTGGGGCGTTCAAGAGATGCAAAGGATAAATCTCTAAATCTGTACCTCGGGCAGCCAGTATTTGGAGGAGAACATGTAGAGCAGCGTGTTGGGCGTCCACGACTTGTAGAGCAGATAGAGGTACACGAAACCCAGGAGAATGCTCGGCAGCGAGCTGCCCATTATCTTCTCCGTCTGTGGTGTGGGGTGGGGTGGGGTGAGTCGGAGTGGTGTGGGGTTGGGGTGGGGTGGGGTGGGGTTGGGTGGGAAGGGGTGGTAGGTGGTGTCTTTTGAGGCGCTTCAAAAGGCGTGAGGACTTGTAGAGGAGGTAGAGGTACACGAAGCCGAGGAGAATGCGCGGCCACAAGCCGCTCCTAATCTTCTCCGTCTGCAGTGCGGTGTGGTGAGGGTTGGTGTGGTGTGGTGAGGTGGGGGCGGAGTCTAATGAGGCGCCTCAAAACACAGGACGTCAGGACTCGTAGAGGAGGTAGAGGTACACGAAGCCGAGCAAAATGCGCGACCACAAGCTGCTCATAATCTTCTCCGTCTGCAGTGCGGTGTGGTGAGGTTTGGTGCGGTGAGGGGTGGGGTGGTGCGGTGTGGTGTGGTGAGAGTTGGTGTGGTGAGGGGTGGGGTGGTGCGGTGTGGTGTAGTGTGGTGTGGCGAGGGGTGGAGTGGTGCGGTGTGGTGTGGTGTGGTGAGGGGTGGTGTGGTGCAATGTGCAAGCAGCAGGGAGTAAGCGTACCACGTGCCAGTCTGGCGCGAAGATCATGAGCGTATAAAGGGGGATCACAGCAGCCTTGCGGATTTCTAAGAAGGCTCATAAAGGGGTTGCCTATATCGAGTTAGTGGTTGTGAGACGCGTACCACGTGCCAGTCTGGCGCGAAGATCATGAGCGTATAAAGGGGGATCACAGCGGCCGTGCAGAGCGTGAACCAGCTGCTCGCTATAGTCACAGCAGAGCCAACCCCAGCTGCCAGGGCTGCCGCTGCAGCGGACGACGCAGCGGATGTGACTATAGGGGGTGTCACTGGTGGGCGGGGTGAGGATGGGATGAAGGGCGCGGAGAGAGAGGGGGGTGGAGGGGAGGGTAAGGAAAATGCGGAAAAAAGGATGGCCGATAGGAAGGTGCTGCAGGTAGGTGGAATTGAATGCCGACGGAAGGTGGACGGAAGAAGGATGCGTGCGGTTTGCGAAGGCTTTTGAGTCGACTCAGAAGTAGGTGGAATGGAAGGTGGACGGAGTGTGAACGGCAGGAGGATGCGAGCGCTTTGCGAGGGACAGCTTACAACTGCATTGGATTCGACTGCCATTTGACATCTGTAGTTTTCTGGGCTTCGGTCGCCCGGAGAGGATGCATTCTCGGGCGGCACGAGTTGACGGATTCGCGAAGCGTCCGGGTGCCACGTGCGATGCTGCAATTCGCACTGCTGTTGTCGATGTGACTGTGGGGAACGACACGTGGCAGGAGGAGGAGGAGGAGGAAGAGCGAAGCGACGGGGACGAGGAGACCGCGACGACATGGGAGGCCTGCAATAACCAGTCAGACAATAACGAGGATATTGGAGTTCTGACGAGAATTTCCTGACCGACACGACGATCAAATGTTGCTTGCAAGACGGCTATCACACAAGCACCGCACCCAATCTCCTTCAACCACTTCTGCTGGTTTGAGCAGCTAGCTGGCACTACTTCATGCTTCCAGCAAAATTAGCGTTTCGAACACGTCAATTTCTCAAAAGCATGTTAATTGTGTGCGGCAGAGAGAATGCGACCGCCATGACTGCAGTTCTCATTGCAAAAGCGACTTCTACTGCTGTGCTGAGCTGCTTAGCGCTTCTCACCTCGACGGCCAAAGAGCGCGCCGAGCCCTGCAACGCAGCAGACGCCATCTCGTCCGACTTTCCTCTTCCTCTCTCCTGCTCGCAAAGCACGCAGCTATGCAAAGCTGATACTAAAAAATAGATGCGTCACCTTGTTCCTTCTGTCACCTGCGCTCTGATTAGTATGAGCTATTTTTTCTCTCACAACCCTACCCGAACATGTTATATTCTTCAAAACCGTTCTAAACCGTAGGGAAGTGACCATTCAGGGAAGAACCTATCCAGCATCAAATGGTATTGTGCTGACCCAAGTCCACCGTATCGAAACGCACAGAAAACCTCTCAGTTGCGGTGTGACGTCGTTTTGCAATCGGGTGACACACGCGGATGTCAGCCAGTCGTCCAGGCCAGACCAGAATCAAGGGATTGATTGTGTGCCTGACGCAAAGATGCGGCGTGCAGGTACGCTCGGACGCGCTCTGCCGTCTGATTGGTGGCCCTGATCCTCTGTGTGGATTTCTGGGCCACGAAAAGCAGAACTCCGATAGAGTTTCAACCGGTCTTGCACAGATTAAGCTCGCACACACCATGTAGTGATGGCTTATGAATCTTCTCATTTTCTGTAGAATAATATTACTCTTCTACAAACTTGTCTATAACATCTACAAAGTAATAGGGGGCACATCATCTCCTGTTATCCACTGGCGGCAGCCTAATAAGCCAGATTCTACCCTCAAAGAATCAATAATCCAGTCAAGTTCAAACCATACATATATTCTCTCCTATTCAAGGCTGAGGCCGTGACTGCACCACGTAGATCTTATCCCCCACAACACACCCTTCAATGTCCTGAGGCGATCCAAACCGGTCCTCCAGAAACGATCCAACGGCCTCAAGCTTCTTAGCAAGCACCACCTGAGCATCAGGCGAAGTAGACAAGAGCTGACCACTGTAATCCACTGCTTGCATCACAACCCCACCCCCTTCTGACCCCGCAACTGCTTTCCTTCCACCTGAACCGCCCCCAGCAGCAGCAGCAGCAGGTGCCATCACGATTTTCTCGCTGAAATTTGCAAAGGCCAGAATTCGAACCAAGCCGTCGGATTTCCCGACAGCGAAGCGCCATGCGGTGCCACGTGTACCAGACGCCAGGGTCTCGCCCAGCCCTGGCGCCACCTCAGCAGAGAGGAAATCCGACGGTGCAGATGAGCCGGGAGCAACAGCACTCGCAGATCCTGTGGCTTTCCCATTACTGCCGCTGCCACTGCCGCTGCTGCTGTTAGCAAGGCGTGGACTGGGAACAACGAGAGCACCACCAGCACCAGTACCGATCCCCTTGGTATGCAGCACGAAGCTAAGGTCTGGTGGGGAGATTAACTCCTGGACTAGAACCGCCATAGCTGCGTCGCTCTGACGCACGCCCGCCACCCGCCGGCTCAGCACCGCGCGCCGCGTGAACAGTGACGCCCACACCGAGGCTACGGCTCGGCCGAACGAAGCAGGGTCGGAGAGGGTGACATCAGGTACGGAATCGTACAGCCCAGCTCCGGACATGCCAGCCAGATCTTCCACGTTGGCGCTCGAGCGGACGATAAGGCGAGCGTTTGCGGAGAAGATATACGAGAGGGTTCGGAAGAAGGCCGGGGGGAGGGGGGATTCCTCTAGGAGCGTGCGGATCTGGGTGCAGGTGCTGTCTAGGCTGCTTCCTTGCAGGTTCGGGTCGTCGAGGGTGGCGACGAGGCGGTGGAAGAGAGTGCGACGGTTGGAAGCGGTGATGGCCTCGTCCATTACTCCAAAGGTGATCACGGCTGAGCGCGGGACGGAGAAGTCAGCACCTGGAAAGATGAAGTGGTGGAACCGAGGGGGGATGGAGGGAGTGGAGTAAGAGAAAGGGGGTAGCGACGAGGCGGTGGAAGAGAGTGCGACGGTTGCAAGCAGTGATGGCCTCGTCCGTTACCCCGTAATCACCCGGGGATGGAAACCGCATACAGGGGGGGGGGATGGAAGAATGTGTGAAGGTTGGAAGTGGTTATGGCCTCTTGCATGACTTTGAAGGTGATCACAGCTGAGAAACCAGCTCCTTGGAGAAATGGGGTACAGAGGGTGTGGATTGAATGAGTATGCGAAAGTTTTGAAGCTGTGATGACCTCATCCATTCCTCCAAAGGTGATCACTGCTGAGTGGGGATCGGAGAAATCAGCACCTGGAAGGAATGGGGTATTGAGAGAGGAGTGCAATTGGGATGTATATACATCGTATATACATGTATCATATTTACATATATCATATATACATATACCATATATACATATAGGTCATCACAGCTGAACAAGGGACTGAGTAAAAAGGAAAGGTGGAGGAAGGAAATTACCTGCAAAAGTGGAAGCGATCGAGAGCTCTTCCAGCTTGGCGCATCCATGCACCTTGGCCCCACACGTGGCCAGATGGCTCTCACAGGTGATGCGAGGGACACAAGACTGGCCTACATACACTAAGGGACTCGAGAGGAAATTACCAGCGAAGGTGGAGGCGATAGAAAGCTCTTCCAGCTTGGCGCACGCATGCGCCTTGGCCCCACACGTGGCCAGCTGTGCCTCGTGCAGCGGAAGCACTGGCAGCCGTGCCTCCTGCACTCGGATCTGAAGGGGGGAAGGATGGGGACACGAGGAGGGTAAAGAGGAGAGGGCAGATGAGGGGGTTTGGGTGTTGTTTAGGGGCGAGAGGCGAGGGGAGAGAGGGGAGGGAAGAGGGGAGAGGAGAGGAGAGAGAGGTGAAGCGGGAAGAGCAGGATGTGCCATTGCTAGCATATGTGCCACTAGAGTGAATGTGAATCTAATGGATGTGCAGTAATGGATGTGCCACTAAAGGATGTGCCTCTGATGGATCTGCATGAATGGATGTGCATTAATGGATGTGCATTAATGGATGTGCATTAATGGATGCGCATTAATGGATGTGCATTAATGGATGTTCCTGTGATGGAATTCGCGTCTAATCTATGTGCCTCTAGTAAGATTGTGAATAAAGCACACTTATGAGAACGGTGTACACTCACAGGATGTGGTTTCAGTGCCTGCACCCACACTTCATCCTCGCTCTTCTTACTGCTACCGCTACCGGCAGCGTCTGATGAGGAGGAGGAGCGCTGGTCCACAGCAGCTCCTGTTATGACCTTCACCCCTTCCACACCCGCCTCGAGACTGCAGAGGTAGAGACAGACAGGGGAATGGGGGAGGGTTGAGCGAGACAGAGAGAGGGAAAGAGTTGAGAGAGAGGAGTGCTGAACCACAGCAGCTCCTGTTGTGATCTTCACCCTTCCACACCCCCCTCGAGACTGACAGCACACACACAGGGGTGGGAAAGGGTTGGGGCGAAGGGTTTGAGCAAGACACAGAAAGAAGGGGGGGGGTTGAGAGAGATAAACGAAAAGAATCGCACACGAGGCCACAACAAAAGAAATGTACAGGAGGGTGGAAAGAGGCTCTTAGAGCTAGAAACGGCAAGGCAAAAAAACAGGACATTGGAAAAAAAAAAACACACACACACACACAAACAAACGAATTCGCCAAAAACAAGGCTTTTCTTGCTGCATGCACGGTGCAGGCATTTGAGATGGGGGCGTTTACCGGATTCGAGAGCCAACAGCGGACCGAAGGTCAGAGATTCGGTTCTCATCCTCGCACGTCATGAGCAGCACCCCCTCCTGCGTAGAGGGGTGCAGTGGATGGGGGGGGTGGATGAGGGGGTTTTGCTGATTCTGATGAAAAGACTCAACGCAAAGGTTCTCATCGCCGCACGTCATGAGCAGCACTCCCTCCTGCATGGATAGAGGTGGGGTAGGAGGGGTATTTGAGAAATGTGAATGACCGCTTACAACACCTAGGTTCTCATACTCGCATGCAGCACGCCCTCGTGTTGGGATGAGGGGGTGAATTGGCTGGGAGGGAAAGTGTATGTTACTATTATCAAAAACTGCTTACGAAACACGAAGGTCCTCATCCTCGCATGTCATGAGCAGCACTCCCTCCTGCGTGGATGAGGGGGGGAATCATTGGGAAGGGTTTATGACAACTCTCAGTGACCTCTTACAACCCAGAAAGGTTCTCATGCTCACATGTCATGAGTAACACAACCTACAGTGTGGATGTGCAGGCGCATAGGTGGTTGCATGGGAAAGTCACAAGCGATTCACTAACACCACGAGTCACAATGGTTGATTCACATGAAATCATACCACGTATCCACGACATCTCACCTGTCTCGCCCTCACGGTCAAGTAGGAAAGGTTCGGCAGCTCCTGCAGCAGCAGCAGCAGCAGCTAGCTAATATAGTGTATTGCTTGTATATTATATAGACTAGAGTACTGTGCATAGTCTCACCTGTCTCGCCCTCACGGCCAAGTGGGAGAGGTGCGGCAGCTCCTGCAGCAGCACAACGGCCTTCAGGTTGGCACCTGCTGCCTTCACCTGCTCGAAAACATGGGGATAGAG